CCTTCATACATTCCTGGTGTAAAATTTAATAAATGTAAAATTGTTCAATTATTTGGAAAACAGCTTGGCAATTCCTCAAAAAGTATAATGTAAGAGTTACCATATGCCCAGCAAGTCCAGTCCTGGGTATATATTCAAGGAGAAAATGTATGTTCACACAAAAACTTGTATAGGAATGTTCATAGCAGTGTTATTCACGGTAGCCAAAAAGTGGAAACAATTCAAACGTCCACCACGGGTGAATGGAGAAACAAACTGCGGCACAATGGAATATTATTTACCCAGAAAAAGGAATGAAGTACTGATTCATGCTACGATATATGGATGAACCTTGGAAATATGTTCTTAATAAATGAAAGAAGTCAGGCACAAAAGGCCATATAATATATGGTTCCATTTATGTGAAATGTCCAGAACAGGCAAATCTGTAGAGACAGAAGGCAGGTTACTGGTGGCCAGGGCTGGGAGGAGGGGGAGATGGGGATTGTCTGCAAATCAGTACAAGGTTTCTTTTAGGGATGATTAAAATGTTCTGGAATTAATGGTGATGGTTGCACAACCTTGTGAATGTACTAAAAACCACTGAATTGTACAACTAAAATGGTGAATTTAATAATATGTGAACTATGTCTCCAATTTTAAAAAACACATGAGTAATGAAGAATGCAACTACATGGTTTCCTAGAGGCTGGAACTGAGGCCCCAAGCTGTGAGGCAGGGCTGCCTCCCCAAGGCCCTGGGGCACGTGCCCTCAGCCCAGTGGGCAGAGGCACCACAAACAGGCTGTCCTCCAGAGCCTGCTCCCCCACCAGACTCCTCACCGGGAGGCTGAAAACAACTCCACGAGTTTCCCGTGTATTCCTCCAAGGACATGGGTGAGGACACAGTAGGTTTTACGTTCATATGTGTATTCAGTCACCTCATCTCAGCAAGACATATGCATTCACCCACAGAAGTATCTCATTAGGGTGGTTTCCTGCTAAGTCATCTAAGTAAATATTCACCTTCAGAAATGTACATGCTATACCTAAACAAAACAAGGAGGACAGTGACAGTGCTTCCCTTCCCCACCTGGAAATGAAGACCTAAGGGATGGTTAAGCCTGCATGCAGGCTGGGCACAGTGGCTTACGCCTGTAATCACAGCACTTTGGGAGGCCGAGGCAGGTGGATCACAAGGTCAGAAGATCAAGACCACCCTGGCCAACACGGTAAAAACCTGTTTTTTTGGTAGAGACCACAGTAAAAACCCTGTCTCTACTAAAAATACACAAAAAAATTAGCCGGTCGTGGTGGTAGGCACCTGTAGTCCCAGCTACTCGGGAGGCTAAGGCAGGAGAATTGCTTGAACCTGGGAGGCAGAGGTTGCAGTGAGCTGAGATCGCACTACTGCACTCCAGCCTGGGTGACAGAGCAAGACTCCATCTCAAAACAAGAGAAAGAAAGCCTGCATGTGGCACAGCACAGATAGGGACACAGAGAAGAAGGATGGCCCACTGTGGGTGGGAAACCCAGGCTCCTCTCCACAGTGGCTGCCTGGGCGGTCCCTTGCCAGCTCACAAGTGCTGACTGCTAACTATTCAGGAATTCTGTAAAGCGTGAATGCCAATTCAAGCGTTGGCGGTTTGACATGAACCCAGGTGGGGGTATTCACGCCACGGGACTGGACACCCTGCAGATCAGTCCCCCCATCCCTATTATGCCACTGGCCAGCGAGAAGGGGCCAGTCAGCACCAGAAGTAGAAGAAAAGGGAAGGAGGTGAGGGGCCATGGCAGTGCCCCCCTGGCCCAGTCTGGGGCTCAGGGTTCAGTGGTGCCACATCACAAGCCACATCAATTGTTACCCACTTCATACTTTGCTTAAACCCTGATGCCACTGCAGCCCCCTGTGCTGTGCTGAGGGCTCTGGCTGCACTCAGCTGCCCCACAGCTGACTCCTTCTGCCTAGGGGACCACTGGGCATGCTCCAGCCGCAGGAGGGGCAGGATTGGTGGATATGAGGGCAGGGATCTAACAGCCTGCTGTGCGCTGTACTAAGCATGGACTCAGCACACAATCTGGCATACGACAGCCTCACACATAACACACATGACGGTCACATGGTGGGTGGACTCCACTTTATGCAGCCAAGCCACTGAGCTCACACGGCCATGGGTGTCAACATCCCAGGCTCCATTTCCAGGAATGCCAGGGACAGCTGAGTCCCTGGTAGGCCTTCCCCATGTCCACCTCCCTGCAGAACAATGGTGATGCCAGAGGTCCCTTCAGCTGTGATAGTCAAAGATCTCGTGGTTGTAAGTTCCAAAGCCCCTGGGTTGTCGCTGAGGCCGAGCCCCCTCTCTTCCCACGGCATGCCACCCACGCTCCGGGCTGCCTTCACTCCCCGCCCAGCTTGGCTTGTTCCTGGGCTTCAGCCCCTCCATGCGCAGGTGCCTCCCACGGCTCCCCCTCAGACTTGCCACAGCTCTTCAAGCACTCCACAACCACACCAAGCATGCCAGCCTCCCGCACCTGCCATCACGGGGGGCATCCTCCCAAGCCCCACCCTCTGTGCCCACCTCACAGCCAGTCGGTTGGGTCCTGTCCACTCCACCTCCCAGAACCCTGAATCAGCCTCCTCTCCTCCACCCCGCCTCAGCCACCCAGGAGAGGCCTCCCTAGTGTCTGCCCTCTGTCTCTTTCCCCATCTCCTTCCCAGCAGCCTTTCTCCACACAGCACCCACGGGTTCATCTGCAGAGAGCATGGCCACGCAGGCCACTCCAGGTCCCTTTGGCGGCTCCCCACCGCCCTCCCTCTGCTCTTGCCTGGTGAGGTCCTGGGGAGAGCCGGCGGGGAGAAACCCTGAAGGTATGCGAGCAGAGAGGGTGTTTCCCAAAAGCAGCCTGACTCTGGGCAGCCTGGGGGATCCTGAGAGAACCAGGATCCAGGCACGAGGAGCTGCCTGGGATCACATGGGGACAGTGGACATGGGGAAGGGCACCCAGCATGAAACGGTGGAAATGAAACTCCACTGCTTCTGAGACAGGAAAACTCTTGCCCACTCCGAAGGCCGGGTTGGATGTCCATTCCTCACAGTCTGGCCCAGCCAAATCCCTGTGTATGGAGGGCAGGGAAGCCGGTGGGGCACCAGCACGGCGGGCAGCAGGGCCACCTTTGAAGGAGCAGGTGCATTGCACTCAGATCGCCCACAGCTGTATCAAACAAACACTCCAGGAGAAAGCCACCCAAACTGCATAAAGGGAGGCTCTCGGGAGTGGAACTGTTGCCGTTTCCTTCTCTTTATGTTTCTGTTGTCTTTTATGTTTCTAGGTTTCTCCTTATTCTCTAAGACAAGCAGTATTGCCTGGACGAGGAACGCCCTACACAGTGTCCACCAAAGGCTGACTGTCATCCCAGTGTCATTTGAGGATAAGAGTTTCTCGGGCCCTTGGAGCCCACAGCAGTAAGGGCAGGCTGCCCCCCTCGCCACCACCTGCCTTCCCAGTGGTTCCGGCTGGGCTCACCTGACCACCTCCGTCTCCAGGGAAAGGCCCAAGGGACTCAGGGGCAAGAGGCCCCTTGCCAGGGAGCAGTGGCACCTCAGGGCCTCCCATTCCTGCCCCACTCCCTTCATGGCTCTGTCCACCTCGCCATCCCTCCTGTGCCTGAAGGAACCGCCTCTCACCCACCTCCACCTCAGGGCGGCTGCTGCGCTGCTCCTGACCCTGTTCCTGTCTCTCCCCACTTTCTTTTCCTAGAAAATGGAGGGTGAGAACCCGGCAACTGGCAGGGACAGGCTGAGGAAAATGGGAGGCAGCCCCGCCGAACCCTGGGGGGTGACCACAGGCAGCCAGAGGGCCTGCAGATGCCACTCTCCTGGGGAAGGGTCCCTCCATCTCACTGCAGAGGGGCCTGGGCCAAGTCTTAGGGGTGACTCCAAGCCAGGGGAGCTGACTGGGAAGAGAGGCTTGGGGAGAAGACAGGGAAGTGCGTCTGGAGGGCAGGACTTACAAAGTGACAAGTTACAGGCTATTTTTGGTTCCTGGGGCTGCCCTGAGACCCCAGGCCACAGCCTTAATGGCAATCACAGGCAGCTCCCCTGTGGGCCTGGGATTTGGGACCACAACCCTGGACACTGCCCTGCCCTCTCCAAGCCCCTTTTCCCAGCAAAGCCACAGGTCACTCTTAGGGCTGGAGCTCCCGCAGAGCCCCAGGTCATGGGATCCTGAAGAAGAGAATCCCCCTGCCAGGACTTGGCTAGGGGGGTCCAGGGCCTCAGGGACAGCCCCTCCCACCCAGCCCTGAGTCATGCACTTGTACCCAGCTAAGTTCCAGAAAGGGCTGCAGGGACAAACACTGGCCGGACACTGGTGGACCTGTGGCCTCCTGAGTGGCCCAGCTTCTGTGGCCTCTGATGACCTCATCTGTGAAATGGCAACCAGGGGCCTGAGAGCAGAGGGTGAGCCAGGCCCAGGAGAGTGCCCTGTTCCCTGCCAACCCTTGCACAGCTGGTGCTTGGGCACAGCTCTGGCCAAGTCCCCACGTACCCTTCATCATTTTAAACATTTTGACCACCCCAGGTTTACAGAGGAGGAAACGGAAGGCTCCAGAGATGTCACTCACCGGGGATCGGGGATCGCACAGCGGGGATCGGGGAAGTCGGGGGCGGCACACAGCCATTGAACCCTTTGCCCGTGGTAGGTGTCTGACCTTGGACAAGACCCCCTCCCGCAGCCCTGGGCGTCGGTTGTGAGCAGACGGCCGTCCCATCTTGCAGGGGTGGCGGGCGGGTGGGCAGGAGCTCCACCTTCCGCGGCGGGCGCTCGCCCAGAGGAAGGGGCGCGGGGGCTGGGGGACCCCGGCCCCGACGGGCGCTGCCGCCCCGGGAGCTGCGAGAATCCGGTGCTCCAGGGCGGAGCGGGGACCGTGGCGCCGCGGGCTGTAGGAGGGCGAGCCGGGCCTCGGCTAGGGGTCCCTCAGTCCCGCCTCCCCGGCCCGGGGACGTGGGTGGGGGCCGTTACCTTCCCGTCATGGTGGCAGCGACGCCGAGCCCGGGGTAGCCGCGGGTCTCCCTCTGCCGCCAGCCGAGCACCCGCCCGCCAGCCCGGGCCGCGGAGCAGGGAGACGCCCAAAAAAGGCCAAAGCCGCTCAGCCCGCGAGAGGGGTAGGCGGGGGTGGCAGGGTGGGGCCCGCGGGGCGGGGTGGGGTGGGGAGGTCAAGGCTGAGGGTGGGGGGTGTTGGGGAGGTGAGGGTGGGAGGTTGAGGGCGTCTAGGTGGGGGTGGGGGTGGCAGGTGGGGGTGGCGGTGGGTGGGGTTGGAGGGGTGGGGGTTAGGGGTGGGAGTGGCGGTGGGTGGGGTTGGAGGGGTGGGGGGTAGAGGTGGGGGTGGCGGTGGGTGGGGTTGGAGGGGTGAGTGAGGGGGCTGAGAGTGGGAGTAAAAGTCGGAGTAAAGGTTGGGGGTGGGTCCCGCCACCCGCACGGCCCCAGCTCTAGGAACACCGAGCGCGGCCAGCGGCGGGCGCGGGTTCCTTCCCACCCGGGCTCTGCTCACCACCTCCCGGATTCCGGGCATAGTTTTCCTTTTAAAGGGAGTGCAGTTATAATAAACGCGAACAAGCACCCCCACCCCCACAGCCCCGCCGGGACGCCCCGCCCGGCGCCCCCTCTGCCGTCCCTGGGCAGTCCAGACCGCCAACGCCTGCAGGAGATGGTAGGCATGGGGCGATGCTGAGACCACCTCCCTCCCGGGCTTTCCAAGCCCCGAGTTCCCACGCGGATCTGGGCACTGGCTCCCTCCCGAGGCACCCGGGACCCCCGAGTCCACGCAGTCCCGCCCCAAGGGAAGCGTCCCTCTTCAGTCGCAAGCTTGCTTTCCCCGGGAAATTCCCATTTCATCCCCCGAGGCGGGCCATCGCCCTAACTTGGTGAAAGGTACTTCTTCAACGACAAAACCAAATGCCCAGCTCCCATGTTTCCGGGGAACCAGGCACCCTCTGTATAATGAAGCGCTGTTGACAAGCTACCATTAGAGGCGTGAAGAGGAAGAGGTGATATAAACTATTTAGGGAATCTCTTCGGAGGAAATTTTGAAACAAACAAAACAAAACAAAAAACCCTGGCCCTGCCTAAAGGCAGATATTTCTAGCTGGACAGTGGCGTGCAGCTCATCTTTGGAAGCTGCCCAGATGTCACACTGAGGGTTGGGAGCTGGGCGGCCTGATGTGTAAATGTGGTCTACTCCAGTCCTGGCAGCAGAGAAAGGTGATCTAGAAATGACGGTGTGAATTAGCAACCCACAAATAAACGGGTGCTGTTCAGAAAGATGAGTTGATGTATCCTGCAGTTCCAGCTGCAGAAATAAGCTGGGAAAAAAACACCTGTTCCTAAGTAGCTGGTATTGTGGAGTGCATTTGCAGCTGTTACTTTTTTTGTGGGGGGAGGGGGGACGGAGTTTGGCTCTTGTTGCCCAGGCTGGAGTGCGATGGCGCAATCTCGACTTAGGGCAACCTCCGCCTCCCATGTTCAAGCGATCCGCCTGCCTCAGCCTCCCAAGTAGCTGAGATTACAGGCGTACGCCACCATGTCCGGCTAATTTTGTATTTTTGATAGAGATGGGTTTCACCATGTTGGTCAGGCTGGTGGCAAACTCCTGGCCTCAGGTGATCCGACAGCCTCAAGTGATTACTTCTTGTTTCGAGTGTGTCTCAGCTGATTCTGCTTAACTGTAATTTGATGGTTGATTAAGCCTAAGTATGGATAATTTCTTGGCTCACCTGCCCATAAAGGGAGAAAGGCTTTCCACCATTACTGACACAGACGTATAGGCCTGCTGGGGCCGTGCACCAGAAAGCCGCTGCTGGACAGTTCATTGAATATCGGGGTCCTGTGGAAACCAAAGAGGATGAACAGTTGAAAGCATTACAACAGAGGCCCATGCTCTCCACAGAGGAGACCTCATTCCTGCCTTTTAGCCCAAAAGCCTCCCTGCTTATGATAGCTAAGCACACATGGATCTGTATGTGGCCAAACCAGGACCCTGTGCAGCTCCCAGCGTGCCTCATCCCTGGGCCAGTGCAAGCTCAGTGACAGCTGGTAGGGGCTGTGGGCATAGCTTAGCCCTGCTGGAGATGCAGAGGCTCCAAAGAGCCAGGGCCAGCCTCCCACAGTTCAGCCAAGAGGGCAGAGTTGCAGGAAAGAGCTGGCACTCACACATTCACACATTTATCCACTTGTTCCTTCAAGAGTATTTATCCTGCATGGGCACCGGAAGTACTGCGGGGAGCAAGAAGACATGGACCTGGCTCTCGTGGAGTTTAGCAGGGGGTGGAGGATGGGCAATAAACAAATCAATATGCAAACTAGATTTTAGACAAGGGTAAGTGCTGCGAAGAAAAGGATCATGGTGGTGGCCGATTTGAGTGAAGAGTGAGGAAAACTTTCTGAGCAGGTGATGTTCGAGCTAAACCGCAATAAGGGAAAAAGCCAGCCCTCAACCATCTGCAGTAAAAGCATTCCGGCGGTGGAACAGCAAGTGCAACAACCCTGAGGTGGCATGAGCTTGGGGTATGCAAGGTCAGAAAGAAGACCAGCAGGTCTGGAAAACAGGGAGGTGGCGGGTGGAGGGGGACGGGGCAGAGCAGCCGGGCCACAGCAGAAGTAGGACTCCACCCTTCGATGGAGAGTTCTAAGCAAAGACAGACACAACACTCTAGCAACAGCAGGGGAGGATCTCAGCAGTACTGACTGAATGACGAAAGAGCACTTTCTCCATCTATATCAAGTTCTAGAATAGGCAACATTTGTCTGTGGTAGAAGAATTCAGAACGGTGGCTGCCCCAGGCTGGTCTATTGCACCCCAGATTGCCCTGGGGCGGGAGGACAGGGGTTGATGAGGAAGGAATGTGAGGGAGCTTCTGGGGTAACGTGCAAAGTTTTAGTAGGAGTTTGGGTCACACAAGTGTATACGCCTTTGTTAAAACTCATGGAATATATGGCCAGGATTTGCGCATTTCATTATATGTAAATTTTACCTCAAAACAAAAATACTGTAAACGATACTGAACTCTAGTTAATGATGTACAATGCTGAAGTGTTTAGGTAGAAAGGTACTGATGTCTGCAATTTACTTTGAAATACATTGTTTAAATCAAGATGAGCAGGTGTGGTGGATCCCTGTAGTCCCAGCTAGTCCCTAGCTACGGGGAGGCTGAGGAGGGAGGTTCACTTGAGGCCAGGAATTCAAGACCAGCTTGGGCAATATAGCATGACTCTGCCTCTAAAAAATGAACTCAAGATGGGGAGATGGATAAAGGGATGGACAGAGAGGTGGTACAGTGAGCCTACCACGATATTAATGGGAGAATCTAGGTGGTGGGTATCTGGGTTTTCAACTTTGATGAGTGCTTGAAGTTTTTCATAACAAAAGGGAGAAGTGTCCCCAGCTGCTGTGTGGCCACTGTGTGAGGGACAGAGTGGTCTCAGGGACAGTCTGATTAGAGGCTATGGTGAGCATCCAGGAGTGACTGGTGCCTTGGGCCACGAGACCGTAGGGACGGTGAGAAGGCGTCAGATACAGGGTCTATTTTGCGGCCAACCGCATTTGCTGGGAATCTGGATGTGTGGGTGTGGCCGGCATGGGCGTGGCCAGCACAGGCGTGGTGGTTGTGGGGCAGGTGTGTGTGTGGCAGGTGTGAGTGTACAGGCGTGGGAGTCAAGGACTTGCAGGTGGCCTTGCTTTCCTAGATGTTGGTGGCAGTGGGACAGTCTGGGCAGGTCAGCGAGGGGTGATGTTGCATTGGGCCCGCCCCAGGCATCCCAGGGGAGATGGTGGGCAGGACACTGTGAACCCGGAGCAGGGAAGAGAGGTCCATTCTCTGGCATAGATGCAGAAGGCTTGGTGCAAATGGAATTTCAGCTCTAGGGCTCCATGGAGACCCTGGGGTGTCTGTGCCAGTCAGGAGCTCTCCAAGGGTAAGAGGTGGGACTGGCAGGAAGTGAGGGGGAGGGCAGGAGAGCATGAAGTGCCACAGAAGCCCAGAGGGAAAGAGCTGCAGGGAGGATGTATGCCACTGCGCTGTGTGCACACCGCTGCGTGCAGAGGCCAGGGAGGCCTCTGGGTTTGGGTCAAGAGCTGGTCCATGGGAGTGAGGGGCCTGAGTCCAACTGCAGAGGGGCAGGCAGGGCTCCTGCAGTGCCTCCCCCAGGAGCACCCCTCCTTGGGGCCTGTGCAGACGGTGCTCCCCGGAGTGCCGCACACAGTGTCTCTGAAGGAGAATGCTCTGAAAGGGGCAGGGCAGGGACAGCAGTTGGAAGTGGGTAGAGGAAAGGGAGGGAAGGTGAGAACGCAGTGTCCATGCCCAGGTGTTATAGGATGATGTCACTGAGGGACATTAAGAGAGTGGCTTGAATCACACACTTAGTCTTCGTTGGGGGACAGATGGGGCTCTGAGGCTGAGGCTGGGCCACAGAGTGACATGAGAGCTGTCCTAGAAGGGGAATGAGGTGCAGCATCTCCCCGGGCATGAGCCCTCTACCCTCTGGGGCTCAGGGCAGGTACCCAAGTTTCTCCACCCCCTCCCACCTTCTCCCTTCCCTACTCCAGGGGTCGGCTACCTGAGCCAGCCCAGGGCCCAGGGCTCATGGGAGCTGGGAGACAGGCCAAGAGAGGGGCCGGGCTTGGCCAGCGTGGCTAATCAGCAGAAGGAGGCTGAGGGGAACCCGGGGTTCTCAAGTGCCTCAAGGAGCCTCCTCCAATATCCAGAGCCACAGCCTTGTCCCCATGTGACGGCAGGGAATGGAGAAGGCCTTGCAGCTCTCAAGAGGCCTGAGGTCTCCTGCCACAGCCCAGGTCCGGGGGCAGGAGCCAGCATGCCTTCCCAGCGGGTGGGCTGTGAATCTGCCTGTTTCCGGGTGGCCCCGTGCGATGCAGGCCGCCCAGACGGCCACTCCACAAGGCCTCTGCCCCAAATCTGGTTAAGGCCTGTCCCTTTCAGGGCACCAGGAACTGGCAAAACACAGAGGCCTGCCGAATATCACCACAAAGCTCAAAGCCGTCAGCCACCTCCTGCGAGACCAGAGTTAACTCAGGAAGTGGCTGTGAGACCCCCCGGGGGGGAAGCGGGGAAGCACCTGCATGGTGGCTCCTGGGCCAAAGGAAGAATAGTGAGCAGCACACGGCCC